GTCGGGCCGGGCACTCGCTTTTCCTGATGTGGAGATTCATTCTACTTCAGGTTCATCCCCCCCTCCCAAAAGTGCTTGTTTGAAGATAAAATATTCAAATTCAGAATATGACGCTTAGATAATAGAGTTCAAAAACATTACCTTGATTCTATTTTAGAAAGTAAATGAGGCAGCAAATATGATGACTCCTTTATCTCCTGCATGCTGTTTATATACTGTCAGCTTTGAAGTTTTTTAAATACGCATTTTGAAGAGAGAAGCGCGTATGTGCCTTCAATTGAGAAGGTAATCTGAAAATTTCAGGGAAACATCTGCAAAAGCAATCATTGAGCCGTCTCCACCACCGGTAGGAGCTCTGGGCGTGGCAGGCACACACAGCTTCACCGGTGCAAATGCAGCCTTCTGGAATGGGAACCAGCAAACTGGGACGACCCGAGTTAGCCAGAATCCCATTCTGGAATTCATTCAGACGTATCGCTACAGATACAGCATTTTCTGTCTGCAGTGGAAAAAGAGGGGGTTCCGAGTAGGTGCTGGCTGATCCTTGTTAAACCAGAGAGCCAGGTCCAGGGCTTTACAGACGTTCACTCATTCGACGTGGAGGCATTTTCACCTGTTACAGAGGGAAACGCTAGAACAGAGCGTGACCAGCGCCCCGCAGCTAAGCGTGCTAGGCCAGCATACAGACCCGCGGGTCAAAGCCAAAGCCCCACGCGAGGGCTGCACACTCCGTCCGCCTGTCACCGAACTCGCAGGTTCTGGCGTCCAGCGAGGTGGGGCAGGTCGCATTGGACTCCTCACTCCCCTGCACACTAGCCATAACGCTGGAGCAGTCGACGAACAGCCGAAGACACTGATGGGAAAGAAAAGCTCACGGGCAGCAGGCGATGTGGTCGGAGAGAGCGGCCTCGTCCTCTGGACGCAATTTGAAGTAGCCTTCCCGGGTACGCGTCCACCGTAGTCTGGACGGTCCAGACGGGGCTCAGGTCGGAAGACCCTCTCGGACTGGCCGGAGGAGTCGGGAAAGGAAACCCAGGGAGAAACCCAGAGTAGGAAAATCTACAGAAAGGGGAGCCCCGAATCCTTGGCTGATAGCTGAGCTGCACACCCACGGGGAAAATCCCAGGGTTTATTCTCAAAGGCGGAGGTGCTGAGAGCAGTGTCTGGACACCGAGTCTGGGTCGGTCTGGGCCAGTTAGAGGCGTGGAAAGCAGTCTCGCTCATCTGTCGAGGCCGAGGGCCGGGCCAGCAGTGAAGGTCGCATCTGTGGTGAAGGGGTTTACGCGACTCTTACAAGGTGCAGAGAGGAGAGAGCGAATGGGGCCCAAGGCAAGCCAAGACCAGAGGTCTCTGCCAGTCTGTCGGTAAAACAGACCGTGCCGGTTTGTGAACCCGGTGCTGATGCGTTTCAAAGGACTGGAATCTCGAAGATGTTGTTCAACTGCAACAGAATTAGACTAGAAGTCAGTAAGAGCAGCTTAAATAGCCCTAATACATGGGAAGTGAACAATGTTTTCTAAAAAAATAAATAAACAAATAAAGCTCAAGGTTCAAAAAAGAAGTCACAAGGGCTATTAACAATACAGACCACGCAAGCCTTATGCAAAAGAAAGCTGCTATCGCTGTATTACCACCTAGCAGCGTAGGCTTTAATGAAGGGTCTTCAGTAATGACCAAAACTTTCATTCTCTAAGACAGAAAATTGCTGTGCACATACGCTTCTAATAAGAGGGCTGCCGGCAGAGATCAGCTCAACCGAGGAGAAAAGAGACAGTTACACGATTATGGTTGGAAGATTTAAAAATCCTCCTGTCTTAGTACTTGATAGAATTCTTAGACAGAAAAATCAACATGTTTTTTATTATACTATGAAATTTTATCTCATGTAAAACTTTTGCTGTAGCTGGCTAAAAGAAAAACTTGTTTCTCTTCCTCCAATGAACTCTGACACCCTCACGTCCTAAGGGAAGGTGAGGGGCACCGAGTCATTGTTGACCAGAAGTAGAAGCCCAGGCTTGCCATTGGCCCACTGGCGCCTGAGGGCAGAGAGGCCTGTTTTACTGCTGGGTGGAGGGGGAATTCTGGCACCCGGAGGTCTCCGTTAATGCTGAGATGCCCCTTTACACAGGGCGGTCCCCTAGGTCCTGTCTACTTCAGCAG